AATATTATTGTGTCAATGATTACATATTTACTATTATATCTAGCTAGGTAGATACACCATATTAGCATCTCGGCGCCACTTTGAATATAAAAGTAATTTGTTTATTTATATATCTACATTAAACTAGAGGTAAGGTAGTACGTTAAAACTATTTAGGGACGTAGTTCTATATTGTAGAGCTAAAGATTTTGATTAAAAATCTTGTTCCACAAAAAAAAAAAGAATATATAAATAAACTTTAATCGTAGTGCAACCAGTTATTATATTTTAATTGAAAACTATTTAAATGAATATTATTAAAAAAATTTAAAACCAATCTAAAAGTATACACATTCAGATAAAAAAAAGAAATTCATAAATGGGTTAGTAAGTAATGGATATCTGAGGTAACAAACATAATAAAATACAATTGAATTGAAAACCTCCTCTTTTTTGAAGACAGTTGAAAAAGTCGAATAATTTTTTATATTAAAAAAGTATATATATCCCATAGGAAAAGAGATAAAAAACAAAAAAGGATATATAAATGTCGGTACTTTGGTGCGAAGTGCAATAATAAAAATGTGATGATAGCACCGGCTCGTGCAGTTCCTCAATACATTCCCGAATATACAGATGGCAATTTAAGTAAGGACAAATTTTATTTGCTCTGTAAAAACGAAATTGGTGAAGTCCATACTCGTGTATTCAGAGAAGATAGGTAATAGAATATAAAAGTAAATGCGAGCGTATTTAGATAGGCCGATAAAAATTCAATGTTCCCTCCTAGCTCTCTTACGTAAGGCGAGCGGGAGCGCCTTGTCTTGATATTTCTCTATCTAAAAAGGATAAATGAATCTATAAATTTATATACCAACAATATTATATTGTTATGGCTACAATAAAATATTTTCAGTTAGATAATTGGTCCACAAACAATAGTTTGATAGTTTTCATATAGGGAGATAATTATCTTGGAAGATATGTTAATATTAAAATAGGATAACCTAAAATCAAATTATATATATATATTTATATACAATTACATGTATTTGTTTTTAGCTATACGACGATGAATATATTACTGCGGTTGGTAGTAATTGTATTTGAACTGAAAAATTCAGGTTGTAAGTTATTGGCCTGAAAAAGTTACATTACTGTAATGGGTTCACTTTATAACGAAAACCTTGTAAGTGGATCGAATAATATCGATTTTACATGTATAGACTTTCTTTTGATAAAGGTAATTCTCTAAAAATACGTCATTGCTTATAGTACGGTAATCAATGTTCATTAATCATATTGTATTTGTGCCGTAGCTATTGTACGAATTCATTCATCAACATGAGGTAAACTGTTCTAGTTCCAAATATAAAAGGCAGGTAAATATAAATTTTAAGTTGATATCTATGGACTTATAAATTTATTTGACGAACTGACTATTATTGTATAGCTGAGAAAAAATTTAAAGGTGTTTATATAATTACTATCTTTTTGCTTCACCATCTTGTACCTATTACTTTTATTCCTATAGGAAATTTAGTAAACCCATTTTTAGCGTATTTTATTCCATCCCAAGAGGAAATTATTCATACACATGGATGTGTAGGAAATATTTAAAATATCAAGATAGATACAACTGTGCATTGATAGATCAATAAGTCTGTAAACCAATAAAGAACATATATATTGATATAAAATATCGACGGTTCATGAGGTATATTATAATTTTAATAACTCACAAAATGTCTGCGCTACATCGCAATCATGATAAATGTAGCAAGGAAATGATGGCATTTTTCAAGATGTTCTACTTTGATATTGGAAATTACTCTCCAAATTGATTTTGTCGTTGTACCAAATCATTGTTTTGCTTTTTCTTTTATTGAGACAAATTATTACGTTATTTATATAGACTTATAACGGTGAAACATTACATTATGTTAAGCTGTTAGCCATCGTGCTGAAGGTAAATTATTATTTTCTTCTTATGAAAAATATCCTTAAAAAGACGTACAATTAGTCTGTCACAAAGAAAAATTATTTATTGGCGAGAAAATCTACTTTACAGTATGCTTAAAACTAAATTTAAAGTGATATACGAGTAGTTAGTGATGTCTAACTAAATACTGCTGTAGTGGGGTATAATGTGCTTATGACTACGAGTATATAGAGGAATAATATTATTCATTATCGAATTAATTCTAAAAATGTTTTCACTGATAAAAAGATAATATCTCTAAATATTACAGGCTATATTTCCCATTTAAATTCATACGAAAATGAGAGATAACTACGAGCAAGCATAGCTACGAGATTTCCTTTTAGTAACAGAAATGTTACATTGATCTGTTACTTCTACAGTCTGCGTAAACTATTTAGTTTAAATTATTATTCGTGTAATAAAAAGTAATCATTTTTCATTAATCTAGCAAGCACATAGTCTTTGTATTAAATTTTATCAAAATTTACTCAGTTGTTAAGAAGATCACATTAAATTCATTACACAACATCGAATCAAGTACCTTTTTCCACTATTATTTTGATAGAAATTTATACTACATAATGCATAATAGTTTTTATATTAATTTATTACAATAAATTATTAGTGCTGTTACAGTTATATTTACTGAGCACTATTGTGAAATACTTTCCGATATTTCTTGGCTGAACGAAACACAAGTTTGACGTTAAAATTACATAATACACACCATTTAAAGATATTAAATAATCATTCCCTTGAATTATTACGGTAGAATTTATGACGAACGAAACTTTAAGTCCCATTTGCTGCGCCGATTTCGGTATGAACAAGAACACGAAATTAAGTCCTAAAATTCGGAATTGCATTTCATGATAGACCCCCTAGTTTTTAGCGTTCGCATGACTGGGATATGTTCACTGACCGATATGTAAAATCCTTCTTCATCCCATTTAGTACGTGTATACAAAATTTCATAGTGACTGATTAAGTCGGTAAGACGCTAAGAGGAAACAAACAAACAAACTTTCACATTTATAGTAATAGTCAGAATATTATTAAGAAATCATAATGCAGCTACTACGGTATACATATATATTTTTTAAACATGTAATCTTTAGCGTTGTTAATTATGTTTAAGTCGAAATTATCATACACTAAATTAATATTAATTACTTGATGGTGTTCCTGTAAATTCGTTTGTATTGTAATTTATTGCCTTTAATTTCCCAACCACTATTCAACACGTCGCTCCGGGACTTTACTACGTAATAATTCTATGAAAATTTATATGCTATTTCGCAGTGATGTAATATTACAATTAAAAGCCCCAACTAGTACAAAGGCTACAAAAATAAAAGATCAGAGGAAACGATAGTCAAAAATAACGATGAAATATTTAAAAGTATACAGATTCCTAATATTTTACGCTGTTATTCCAATCTTGCTTAATTATACAATATTAACATATCTGCTTGTATAACAATTAGTCTGTTATCCTAAGGTTGTCTTAAAAAGATCGCTCTCAACAATAAAATCGCCTTACTGTAATTAAACAACTGTATCCTTACATTCATTGTCTTGCTTATTCTCTATATTATATAATGCAAATAAAATATCTTCTTTCATTTCTGACTGTGTCTTAAAAGTATTTTTGACTTGTATTTTAAGACTCATAATACATTTAAAGTGATATTACATTAGTAATATTTGGATAATAATATTTGGATTTGGATCTTTTCTTTCGATTTAAATTTTCCTGCTTTTTACAACATTATATTTGGTAAACGTTAAACGTAACTATATAAAATTAAATAATTACAAAAATTTATAGTTTTTGATATATTATTATCGCCTATAAATAAAATAAAAGTAAATATAAATTTAAGAGTACATCTTCGCGACAATCATAAAATTATGTCATCTTCATCAGTGTCAATCATTTCTATCCACAGTAATCAGATTTATAATAACGCTAATACTGTGGGCGTTACTGTAGTTATATTATTTATATTGTTAAACAGTTATATTGAATCTAAATACTCTAGAACAATATCAAAATTTTAATACTGAGGTCTTTATTGGGCGTCAACGCGTTGAAGTCTTTTCATAGGAATAACTGACCTTATTAATTAAAAAAATAAAATTATGTTTTCAGACCACAAATTTGAATATTAACAATATAATATTACCCAATAATTTATATATTGCCATTGTATTACTTATTTTCTACAAGGCAACTGTAAAAAATAAACATTAAATGAATAATATGTTTAATTTCGATTACATTACTAAGAGTAAGTTATAAGGATTAAAACCAGATGCGTTTATGAGGAATATAAATAGTTATCTACATAATCGCAATATCAGTTTACAACTATATTGTAATCTTCAGCGATATAGATTCGTCCTTCACATTTCAGCGGGGCAGGTGTTACGATGCATGCCTGCACTAATCCTGACTTCCTTAAGCCGACAGTGGCGTGGTTATGATCAATATTTACGCAGATGTGTCACTTTTGGTCGCCGTCGTATTATTCGTATTACGTAATATGAATTTAGTTTAACTATTGGCCGAGCAAGGACGAACTTAGCCTGAATAGTGCCGGCTGGCGACGACCCCGGCTGACACTGCATGCGCCACTCACCTCACGGGGCTCACCCTAATTATTTAATAAATATCTCACTTACAATTATTATTTTACATCTTACTATTTAACCGAAACTATCAAATGTCAACATATTTACATCCGATACAGGCTCTACATCGAAAAACAACCTAGACCTCGCAAAAACTACATACGAAACATATCGATTTGAATAATACAATTAAACATAGTTAACCCTCTTAGTAATTACGGCTAGACATTAAAATTACGAGGGGTGATCGTGATAAAGTAAGCACGCATGCCGCAGGTATACTTGAAAAGCTACGAAAACACGTTCATATGTAACCGTAACCGGAAAATCGCGGAAAGTGCAATATCGGGCGTTCAAATTGTCGGTGCAGATCAGCTGATCACGTGGGTGCGGTACTTACCGGCTGCGATCATCAGCCACCACCAGCAGTAGCAGGCGGCCACGAGCGCCCGAGCGCCGGTCATCTCAGCGGCAGCGCATGACACGCGCGCTCTCGCCGGCCGCCCCGGCGGACTGAGCGCCGCCCCGCACGATCGATGCCCGCTCGCGCCTCTCCGGCACGCACCCTCCCGAGCTCCCGAGTTGCGACCCCGCCCCGCCCCGCCTCGCCCCCCCATTTTCCGAGTTTCCTTGGAGAGCGCGCGCGCTGCCCCGTTTTCCGGCAGATCGCTGACCGCCCCTAATTGATTGGGCTTGTTCATTTGCCGAACGCATTTTAGGTCAGCACCGCCGCAGAGTGTCTGCGTTTTGTTATCCTGCCAACCACCTGATAGAAGAACGGCCTCGTAATCACCAACACAGGATTTATTATTCGTATCACTTCTTGTACTGTAGTATATTCTGTGGTAGCGGTAAGAAGACAATTGTAGGATAAAAAAAAAAGTTATTATACGATTTTCTTGACAATTGCGATTTTGTGAATTAATATAAGTAGATAAGAAGAAATACATTAAAATATTTACCGTTAGAATTTTGTACTGTAAAATAAAGTGAAAACAAAAAAATTACGTACTTAAAAAGAAGACGGTAGGTATGTACCACGTGACGATTTTCAGAAAATATTTTTCCAGGAGTCATAACTTGAACTGCATTTAATTTTATTTTCGGAGCTAAAATTTTAAGTTTATTCGAAACTTTGAATGTAACTTGTACGAGCTTTTCTGGTACTACTCACACAACACAACAACATCACACAACAAATGCACATCTCACCTACCCAGGGAAGTAGTAATCATCAACTGGACCAAATTATAAATGCCAAACAATTATATCAGTTCCCTGGTTAACGAGCTGGGCTTAATCCTAGATAATTTTGAGAAATCATACAATGATTCTCTAGGGGAACCACGAGCATCACCCAGAACCGTGTCGGGTTCTGGGTGGTGCTCGTGGTTTAAAATTTAGAACATCTCATTTCAAAAATTGCATGATCAAAGTTAAATGTAGGATCTTATTTATGCAAAGCAGTGTACCTAGCACTTACCAATGCTGCATGAAGGTCATTATGTTGTCATTTATCAATCGTATCACAGTAGATATGAACTGTGCCGTCTACTTCACAAGCCCTGCCACTCTTTATGATATTATTCTTTATAAGAAAATACGCGAAGAGACGTTGCGTCTCTTTGTATATTTTTTTAATGGGTGATAATGGTATGGTAACCCCGCCTGCGCTATCGGTATACACCGATATATACGGGGCACCAGTGCAAGGTGATAGGTGAGAATGGAAAGGCAGGTCAGTCATCGTGACGAATTCAACGATAAATTAGTCACAATGGTTTCCAGGGGGAACCGCGTGGAGGTCGATCTGATAGGGTATATTGATAACAATGGGGACTAACCTCCCCATTATTATCACTCCCTTCCCCCTCTCTTTGTGTACTAGAGTTTTGTGTAGAGAATTTGTGTGTAGAGACTGTATCAAAGTAAGTACTCTAAAGAAACTGTTCAATATAACCAACCGCTAATTTCCGTTACTGTAAGACTAGACACAATTTAAAAATTCAGTAACATCACCTAGATGAATGGCGGTTCCGTACTGTACGTTTCACGCATTACTTCCTGCCACGTACTGTAAACATGTGGAACAAATTACCTACAGCGGCATTTCCTAATTAAAACGACATGGGGACCTTCAAGAAGAGAATTTATACCTTTTGAAAAGGCAACGCATGGGCTGCAGTGATCACTTACCACCAGGTAAACCGTTATATATGTATATGTTATTACACTTGAAAAAAAAGATACAGCGATTAGTTTAACAATTTATTAACAAGACTTATGTCTGAAAGAGCAGCTCTATCCTCAAGCAAAAATAAAGCAGTGAGAGAGAAAATGATTAGCAAATAATGTAGTGCATTGAAGTTAGGTATAAGATAAAAAAAACTTAGTCTAAAAACGAAGTAATTAATTAAGATGTTATGCATCTTGGTGTAAGAGAATTTGCTAAAATTATCTAAAATGCCACGATTTGTCAAAAGGTACATCCGATCGGTTTACAAGAAGCCAACTGACCGTTTACTCCCTTGACGTGATATTGTAGAAATCCTACCAATCTCGTGTCAAATCATCATATCTGTAACCATTTTTATCATATACTAACAATCCGCCCTGGCTTCGTACGAATAGATGTAAAGATAAATTAATATTTTAAATTAGCTTAGGCAATAGGCAATTTTTGGATATTTTAGGTTATATTATTATAATTTTCGTAGCGATGTCTAACTTTCTTCAAACTGGCTTTTGATTTATACGAGATTAAGATCATGGAATAGACTATCGGCAGTATAGTTATTCGTGTATAAATTAAAGTTTGGTCGAATCTATCCTTAAACTAATATATAATCTATGTTACTCTAATAATATAGCTTTCTAAAGATTAAAACATTTTTTTATTTAGTTTAATAGTTTTGAGTTTATCCCTTATAAATCAACAAATAAACAAAAAAATAAAATCCTTTCTCATTTAATATTAGTGCAGATATGGATATATTTGATCAAATCTAACAATACCTACGATACTATATGGATTGTAACCCGAAACAAATAAATATCTGCAAAGCAATGCATATGAACATTGCTTTAAGGCAGAGAAATAGGAAACATTCACTTAATACTCTACCATCTTGTATGCTGGCTAATTATTCAACATAGGATTCGATTAGAACTGTTTTTTTTTAGAAATAATATAAATATGCATATGTATTGTAATAGTATATATACAAATTAATATAAATGTATTAATTAAAATCGCGGCCATTTACAATTGTTTAAAGAAAAAAACACAATTTTTTTTACACTCAAACTTTTTTTTTTATGATAGCATGACACGTGACCAAATCATCCTGAGCGAACTTTACGATGCGTTTGATAAATTCAAGGTCATAGGATGAAGGGAGCACGTCACGGGAAAAATCATTCCACAATGTTATGGAACGGTTCACGTAAGAAATGTTTAATTTTAGAGATAAACGTCTATCTTATAAATTACTAAGCGTTTTCTCTTCTTTTACTACTAAAAGGTCCTGCCATTGATCAAGATCTCATCTGATGGAAAGCGATATTGTGGTCTAAGATGGAGCTCGCGAGCTCACGAATTGTTGTATTGCCTCTACCGGCACTTACCTAGTTTTTTTTTTTTTTTTTTTTTTATGGGTGAAAATGGTATGGTAACCCCGCCTGCGCTAACGGGATACGCTGGCGGAGCACCAGTGAAGGGTGATAGATGACAATGAAAGCAGGCCAGTTAGCCCATCATGATGAATTCATCAGGAATTAACCATGACAGTTTCCAGGGAGAACCGCGAGGAGGTCGACCTGGTTGGGTATATTGCTAGCAATGGGATTCTCAGTCTCCATTATTAACAATCCCTTTCCCCCCGGCACTTACCTAGTCCATTACATAAACGCACGGGATTTATATCATATATATATTAAGATTAGATATGTAACTACTAATGAAATATTTACTGCGGTAATGTACCAATAATGGTTTCTATTTAATATAGGATTCCAAATCTCTCCTAAAATTTTTAAAAACTTATAGCTTATCCCATATCTATCTATCTTCACGCTAAGGCTCTTGCAGGGCAAACAAACAGAACTGAGTGCCAAAGACCTCTATTCTTACATAAATATATCTATCGATTGCTTCGTCCACTCTTAAATTACCGGTACAACTTAAAAATATTTCTGGTTATTAATTATATATTTTTTCAGTTTCATAAGTTTATAACCTTGTTTAAAGTATTTAGGCATATACACCTTCATATAGCATATAAATCTCACTACATATTAACAGAAAGTGGTAACGTCGTTTATATACCAACATGAACAGCACCGTGTAATGGAATGGTGACATTACTTTTAGCATGAACCAGTGACGAACGATAGATGGGTCCTTAGGTGGGCTATATGATGACCATATCTAACATGGTAGCGTTAATCATTGGCGTATATAGAGGTGGGGTTGAGAGGGAGATGGGGCCACCGCCTTAGAATTGTGTGGTGCCCACCCCATTAAAAGATGATAAACTTTCAGTTATAGATAACGACAGATTCGACTATATAATTCGTATACAGGTGCATTTAGTAAAGTACCAGGCCTCCTTCACTAAAATAATCTTAAATACGCCATTAGCACTAATAGTTCGTAATAGACCGATGGACGAGTTAATAAAGTCACATAACCCTTATGTTCGTTACACCTCTTTGTATGGAACTCTAAAAAGTTGGTTTCCAACAGTTTAGTCCTAAAATTAATGTCAATGCCTGAAACCTTAATCACAAAAAGGCCTCTAAGTGGGGTGAAGGGATTGTTAGTAATGGGGTGGTTAGTCCCTGTTACTATCAATGTACTCTATCAGGTCGATCTCCACGCGGTTCCTCCTGGAAACTATCGTGACTAATCGATCATTGAATTCGTCATGATAGGCTAACTGACATGCCTTTTCATCCTCACCTATCATCTTTCACTAGTACTCCGCCGGTGTATACCAATAGTGCGGGCGGGATATACCATGCCATTATCACCCATAAAAAAAATTGGCCTCCAGGTAAATAAAGCCTTGAAGTTGTTGCCATAACAGTTTAACAATGGCCGTAATTTTCTACATCAATAAACAGTAAGAAAACAATAATTTACACTATATTTGCAGTTAATATTCGTATTTTATAACATATTTTGTATTATAAAAAAGCAAAAGATTAGTGAGCTTATGTAGGTGCTGCCTCGGCCGAATGATTAAAGAACTAAAATTAATATCATGAATTAGTTCTATCTTTTGCCACTTGATGTCCAATGGCGCTATTTGTTGGAGAAAAGAGTATTTACCATTTTATTGATAATTAATAATTCAACAAATGTTTATAATAAGTAAATACTTTATTTGTTATTATCTTCAAATAGGTAGATCGTTTTATATTTTTGCTTTACCCATGCTCGATTACTCAAAAATTCTGTATCAGATAGGTAGTACATATTCTACTCTTAATCTATGATATTATTCATGGCGTGTTTACCAAAGATAGGTGTACACCTATCTTATGTGTTATCATTTTGACATTGATATTTGACATTAACTTGATTTTATATTTTTTTTATAAAGTTAGAACTTGGAATGGGTAACCAAAATAAAAATAATTTATTATCATAAATAATAACGTTGCTTTATTTGAATATTTCACTAATATGCAGTTAACTATTTACAGAAAGGAAATATATTTTCAGGATTTTATGATTTTAGATTCCTTTACAATTACATAGAATACTATAAGGCTTAATACTTCTTGATACTGAAACATGAAATTTAAACGCGGGTATTACGACGTTTTTCTGCAAACTTGTGCCAAAAATCCATCCAGAATTGCCGTGAGGCATTATGATAACAGTATCTACAAACACTATACGTATTCCGAGTTATATGGTGTATGTGAATATATATCGCAAAATCTGCAACAACTGAAATGTAATAAAGGCATAATTGGATTAATATCTGAAAGAAACATCATCATACCATGTGTCATAGCTGCGTAAGTAATGGTTATATTAGATTTATTAGGTAGTACTGCCTCTTAACACTAATTAGATATTTTACATGATTTCAGGGCTCACAAATGCTGCACAACATTCATGTTCCTGGATCCATCACAGGATGTAGAAACTGTAGCTAAGGATATGAAATTTACAATTGTCATAAATATTACAAATAAGGATGCAGCAACTACATCTGAGTTATTTAATAAAAAACCAGATAAGTCCATAACCATTTTTGATTTGGTTATACATTTTTATAATTTTGACTATCAGAATAGTACTACACATGTACCTGAACACTCATATATAGCAATGACATCTGGCAGCACTGGAGAACCAAAACACATACAAGTGCCTGTGCAATGTATTCAACCAAATATAGATGATTTAACTAAATTATTTAATATTACTGCTGATGATATAATATATTTCTCTACACCACTAACATTTGACCCATCCATGATAGAGATACTGCTCGCCTGTATGAATGGAGCCTCTCTACTTATTGCACCTGAAAAAGCAGACATATTATTCCCCAACAACAAAGAGAATTCTGTGACATTTTGGCAACTTACACCATCACGATTTTTTCAGCATTCAAATTCTGATATCAAGAATAAAATATTAAGTGCAAATTCAACATTGAAAATACTAGCTTTAGGTGGTGAGCCATTAAATGGTGTGAAGAGACTAAAGGAATTGAAAGATTGGGATAATAAAACTAGAATATTCACATTGTATGGAGTAACTGAAATGTCATGCTGGGCTTGTGTTGCTGAGTTAGATCTTAACAAAATACTAACTGACAAAGAAATACCATTAGGTAACTGTCTGTCAGAAACAGAATTACATGTGGAATCAAATGATGACAATAAAGAATGTGGAAAAATTATTTTAGGTAAGTAGTGTGTAAATAAAGAAATAATATTTTGTATTGTGTTTTAATTTAAAACACCTATAATTAAAACCTTTTATATTTTCAGTAAGCAAAACAAGAAAGTGTGTTATATTAAACAAAACCATTGGAAATGAAGATGAAAATTCTTTAAAATTCATTGACACTGGAGATTTAGGTGAAGTAAGAAATGGCACTGTGTATTATCGGGGTCGCAAAGATGATATTATTAAAAGATTTGGGCACAAAATTAATTTACAGTTTATTGAATCAACTATAATGCAATGTCCGAGTGTGAAAACAAGCTCCTGTATCTGGCTCCCAAAACCATTACTTCTGATTGCCTATTTCTCATCAGAAACACTTAGCAGCCAAGAGTTGTCCAACTTTTTGAAATGTAAACTTGATGATAAACATTGGCCAGATAAAATAATTAGAGTTGACAATTTACCAACAAATCCTCATGGGAAGATATCTAAATTGATATTATCTAAAATGTTTGAAGAAACAATGAACACACCACAGACATTAGATTCCTTAAAAGTGACTTTCTTAAAGGAACTTCAAGCTGTAATGGGTCAACACTTCACTTATGACCAAATTAAAAGTAAAGACTTTTTTGCCATTGGTGGCACATCTTTTCTAGCGATATCTATGTGTAATAAGCTTTCACTACTTTGTCCAAAATTTGGTAAACTAATTCTCCCTTACTTAATGTCTCAAAAAAATACTATAGATGATATTATGCAATTGGCATATAAAGAAATACATGTTGATGAAATAAAAGTTAAGAAAAAAATTAAAAGGTCACGGTCAGATGCAGGTGGTTATGTAGATAGTCAGTCTTATAAAAGAACTAACACAAAAAGTCTGACAAATCCTGTAAAATTCATTGTGTTATGGTCATATGATACTGGAAAATGTGTAGATGCTTCTCCATCTTTATTTCAAATAGGATTGTAAGTATATTTATACATACATACATATCTGTCACGCCTGTCTCAAGTATATTTATGGTATGTATGTACATAATTTATTTTAAAAATAATATAATGAATATTTATTTACTATTTATTATAGATATACTTGCCACATTATCATTCTTATGTGTTTATTTAATTATAATACCTTCTAGAATATTTTTTGAAAACATGGCTGTCATGAAGGAGTCAAGTTATGTCTTATGATTTGCTTAACTGATTTTGATAAAACAAACGCCAGTTTTTAATTTAAGCTAATGTCAACTCTATAATCTATTTTCACGCCAAGTATCTTGCGGGACAGACAATATCTGTTTCATATTCATCATCACATCGGCCTTTAACTGTCCACTACTGAACATAATCCTCCCCACAAACATTAATTATGTACAAACATTTTGATCTTTACGACTTTATTGAAGTTTTTAATTTACTAAAATGATATTTATTAAGATCATTGATACTCCGCTAGCTGTATTACACGGCTCCACTCGCATGATTTATTGCGGAATACAATCAAGAATACTGTTACGTTAGCATATAATCTACCCATGTATGAAATTTAATACAAATCAGTTTATTAGTTTTTGCATGAAAGAGTAAAAAAACATCTTACCATCATTACGGTCTTTCGCTTTTATGATATTAATAGGTTTTTTTTACTTATTCTATAAACGTTCCAACGCAAACGTGGAAAATAATGTAATTAATTTACCAGAGGAAGACTACAAAAATAGTTTCCTACTTTTTTATAGGAAACCTTGGGTACCTCTGTCCCATTTGTGTTTTAACCGTAAAGCAGTTGTGTTTGCATGGCTCTGTTTCGGTTTGAAGGTTGGGATATGGCGTGAATTTACAGGGTACAGAGGAATAACACCTGAGTCCTCAGGAATGGCAACGCATGGGGAGTATCATGGGCGAAACAGTATACGCTGTTATGTCCATGGTACTGCTCATGTCTATAGGCGACGGTTACCACTTTCCATCAGGTGGGCCGTCAGCTTGTTTGCCATTCTAAGTTGTATAAAAAAAATTAAATACTTAATCCGAATATTATTGTTTTAGCAATTTATATGTGACAGTCGGGAGTCATTCAGGGAAGATTATAGTCATGGATGCGATATCTGGAATATTGCAGGGCATGGTAACAGTGAAATCACGTGTTGAAGCATCTGTATTCTGTTACCACAAGAGAGACATGTCACCGTGCGGTGTGGTTGGTGCTTACGATGGCACAGTGGTATGCTTCCAATTAGAAACATGCAAAGAGTTGTGGAGAATCAACATTGGATCAATGATAAAAAGTAAAGCAACATGTTGCAATGATCTACTCTACATTGCTTCCTATGATGGAAAAATAAGATGTATAGATATTGCGGTTAGTATATGTAAAAGCCTTAATTTTTTATTCAACATAATATGGCAAACAATCTGATGATCCACTTAATGGAAAGTGGTAACCGTCGCCTACACTATGACTGTAATATGCTCTGACGGCCATTATATTCCTCAAATACTATCATTCCTTGGGACTAAGGTATTATAATGTCTACATGCTCTGTAAATTCACTCAATTTTACAATTAATCTCTGTGGAGAATGTTTATCCAGTGATTTGAACTTCTAAGCTAAATATCTAAACCATATTATAGTCGGTTAAGAATGGACAAATATGGGACTTTTTAAAGTTCGTTGATAATAAACAATTGCAAAGTTTTTATTTATCTTTATAATTGTTTTGAAAATTCCAGATAGGGGTAATCAAAGAGACTATATATGTGGCAGATCAAGGTATATCAGCTGATCTAGTACTTGCTAAAAACAAGTATGTGTTAACCAGTACACTGTCTGGTGTGTGTGCAAGTATACATACTCTAACCAATACTGTGGCTTGGCGCTGCACACTGAGTAGTCCAGTATTTGCAAGTCCTGTGCTTTACGATGACGACAAGTATGTGGTATTCGCGGAAGTTAATGGTGAAATACATTGCACGACCGTTGAAAAGGGTATTAAGGTCAGTTCTTAAATAGATATTATTAAGCGCGGCGGATGTACATTCAACAGATATTGGAGATGTATGTAGACATCACTAAGAATCCATTTTTTAAACTACGAGTTAAAAATAAATGTGGTAAATAATTTTTTTTTTTGTGAATTAATAATGACGCTAAAGCGTCACTTAGGTGTGTGTCAGCTCGTAGAACTCGATTAGTCCCACGCAATCTTTTTTTTCAGAAATTTTTAGTGTCTTGAACATAACAGTTATGAGACATATAGTAGAAGTAGAAATATATAGACGACATCGACTAGCGATAGTTACCACTTCTCATCAAATTTACTATGAATGGGTCAGCACTAAAAATTGAAATTGCTTGACATTGAATTAAAATCGTTAGGTCAGTTAGCTGAATATTATTATAACGACTGTTTGCAACGGTTTGGGTAATTTGGTCGTCATGCATGATTTTTTAAATTTAATATAATTGTTTTTATTACAGATATGGAAATATCAAGGAGCAAGAGGTAACATTTTTTCCTCCCTCTACATAAAAGAAGTTGATAAACTGAAATGGCAAATGGTTTTTGGCTGTCACGATAACAAAGTTTACAGCATTAATATCAAGAATTTCCAACCTAGCTTGAATTGGAAAGCACAACTCACATCACCTGTATACTCCACTCCATGTGGTCTAAGTGACAAATTAATACTTGCTGCCTCTAATAATGGCAGGTTATGCATTATAGATGAAGAGAACGGGATAATATTGGCAGAACATCATCTGCCAAATGAAACATTTTCATCACCAGCAGTTTATGGAGATTACATATTCATTGGTTGCAGGAATGACCACCTTTACTCTTTGAAATATGTTTTAAATTTATAACAAGCCTATCTAGTCAAATGTAAAGTATGGATATAATAGATAATCCACATTATACCTAATAAAATTTTACCAAAATATAGCAATAAAAACATGTTTAATAAAAAAGTCCTTTTTAAATATTATGTATCTTTATTGATGATCTTACACAAAACATATACATGTATAGTGAGCATTCATATTTTTGACATATTACAAATATGATATGGTTACAGGATCAAATAATGTACCAAAATGGAATGCATAATTCGACAAATAAACTTACCACTTCTCTTGTGCAGATCATTATTAGCAGCATTTTAGACTTAAATAATAAAAGCATCTTAAAGACAAATAAAATCATTTAAATAATAATCTTTTTTGAATCTTTTTGGTAATAATACAATAATACATTTACTGGGGCCATTTCAATGAGAATAGTTGCACATATACAATTATCTACTGCCAATACACCTTAGCTCTTATAAATCTTTACCCAAAAATCCCTAATGAACAATTCTTTTTATAATTGTTGCGAAACAGTTCAGTAAACAAAGATTAAAATTAACAAGCAATTTATGTATATAGGACTTATTTACTGCTCTTCTTCTCCCAGCTCCACTTTAACTTTGGAAAAGTCAAAGTCTTCATCAGTACCCCTCTTATAAATCTTTAGCACATCTAAACATGTTGTCTCAAAGTGAGTTGTTGCATCATAAGATTCCGAGATGAAGATGGAACTTTGGCTGCCATCATCAGTAGGTTCATAATAATCTGTTACAGAGACAAACTTCTGCCTGATAGGTCCCAACAGGTCTAGGCCAGGTTTTATCTCAGATTCAGGATCATTAGTTTCAACTGTAGTCGACACCATAGCAATGAACCATCCCTTTGCAGCTACCTGGTGTGTATAAGACACCAAGGACACATATATATCAGAATGCCTGCCCACTTGCTTCTGAGGAATGATAATCTGGGTAGATAGGGCATCCTTTGTATTAGCAATAGGATGATCTAATAGGCAAATGCAGCGAATCACTTGACCCTTCTTGCGCACTCTGTCAGGGACATAGCTGGGGTCACAATAAACTTGCTTACACTTGGCTATCTCATTGCCAGAGCGTACTCCAATAACTCTGCCACCTTCTCCTAAGACGATCTCATCAATGGGTTTGTCCAACATGTACGTCCCCCCATAGATAGCAGAGAGACGAGCAAAGCCTTGAGGAAGCTCACCTAATCCATACATAGGGTATAAGTATGGGGATTTACCATATCTTGCCAAGGAATCCGAGTACAATTTAATGCGACGAATGGTTTGAATAGCCGGCTGTTGGAGGTAATTATCATCAAGATACAGTGCTAGCGCATGACCAGTGAAGTCTTGAGTATTTTTATCAAGACCAAATTTATCATATAATGATTGCATATTCGCTGTGCTGGGATCGAAATCCTTCCAAGTTTTGCAATCTTCCTCTTGGAAATCTTGTACGTAAATTAGGAAATTACGGAAACGCCTCTTTTCAAACATACCCATAAGGTCAGATGCCAGTGCTTCCTTTTGATCAACCGGCACTTTAGAGATCTTACCGCCTTTGTAGACATAGCTACCTTCCACCGATTTGAATTCCAAATATCGGGTCACGCCCGTATGTATGAGCAGTTTTACAAGAAGGCCATTCGCCATCAAAAATTTGGGAATCAAGTCCACGTTCCAGTCGCGGCCTCGACCGTAAGTTTCGTCCGGAGCCGGTGCATTGAACTTTGCGAACAATTCTTCTAACGGGGTAATTGACGCAGATTCTCCGCCGTAGTACTTGTTACGATCAATGTGCAGTACCTTCTTTCCGGAGACAGATAACATCCCGCTAAGGATACATTCTTTGAGCCCAGTGCCCAACACGATCGCGTCGTATTCTTCATCCATGGTGAAAGAAATCAAAAAGATTTATTCAATATAAAGGTCCAATTGGAAATAATTAACCGGGAGATAAATGTCAAAATGTCGGAACAAATATGTCCGCCATGGGTGACGTCGACGAACTGTTGCCAACATAATACACATCCATACCATAAACATTTTAATGGTCTCCGTATACGATTTTTCTCCTAAGATACTATATAATTTTTATATGTTATATTAAACCTATGATATAACTAGTTGTTCCTAAACTTAAGGAAAATTAAATATAACTCATATTAGATATTATCTTTGTCTATAATACATATATTATATATTTACTTAATCTATATTAAGTATCTTGTATATTAACTTTAATTATTGATGTACTGTTAATAATCTGTGACTTATGCTTAAAAAATAACGTTTAAAATTTTATGTTTTACATGAGTCCCATTATTCCTATCTTAAATTACTAAAATAATGATACAGTATACGTTATACATAGATTTAGTATAACATATTACATATATTATATGTGTTTGCTTAAAGTCATTCGATCGTATAAAATATATGTTAATAACGAATGAAAATAGTACTAATAGTTGTAGATCGTAAGTCATGAAGCCCATTCTACATTATAGATATTTTTTTTATAGTCGCTCCTTGTTCTTAGCTAAGAGTTCTTAATAGTCGTTATTGGCTTGCTGTCAATAATATCAGTGTCAGTTGTACACAGACATATGTTTTATATTTAGTTTTGTACCGTTGTCATATATATGTCACTTTGACTATTCTCGATTTGGTAGTTCCGCTCGCTGCCGCTTTGTTATGTTCGTGTTGTATCGTCGACGTGTTGGTGTTTTTCGTTTGATTGAGTTGAATATCGTTGTCAGTGTCATCCGGTCGACTTCGCTTATTTTGAGTTTTGACTTTTATTAGTTTTATTTGCTATTGTATACGTAAATGACTGATTATAGCGTGACCGTCAATTAAGATTAAATTTTATATTAAAACTACTTAGAGAAAAAATGATTTCCAATATACTTAGATCCCAAATTATAACAGTGTTTTGTGTTAGTTAGTTTAGAAGGAATAACCGTGATGTGTGCAAGAGTGAACAGGTGACTTTAAACCATATGTTTCGATTTTTAGGCCATTCTTTTAATCTTAACGAAACAAACGGTGAAGCGATTAAATCATCAGAAGTTTTAAATGAAAGGAAACAGCGAAACGACAATTTTTCAAATGAATAAAAATGTCAACAGAAGGAAGCGGCGAAACTCCCTCAACAGTGCCAAGTTTGCCCGGAGCACCGGAGCAAACATATTTATTCCCCAAAGCAAAGGGACATTCCAGATCTATAAGTCATGGAGGGACACCGATGCTTGCCGGAAACCCGGCGGTAGCGCGTCCACTCAAGTCTGCGTTACGCGGCCACCAAAGAGCTCTGTCTCATGGTCAGATAGTAGAAGGGCCACGTGCGGCGTCTGGACCAGGTCACAGCCGCACCGGTAGCCGCACAGACTTTATCCTACCACCAGGCCACCGGGAACCAACGCCGGCCAGTGCCCAGCCACGCTTAGGTTCGGTTCGCGCGCACCACTCTCGTCAAGCCTCCCGTTCTGACTCGATTTACACAATTCGTCGAAGTTCTGTAGTTGGGCCATGGCGGCGCGCGTTTTTTTGGCTCCTACGTCGACAACAGCCTGCTGTTGATAATCGACTACTTATAGTTACTCCTAACCACTTAGTGCCTGACAAAACTCCTCCAAAAGACCACCCAAATGGACACAGATGTGATAATAAAATCAGGACTACAAAATATACACTACTATCATTCTTACCAAAGAACTTATTTGAACAGTTCCATAGGATTGCAAATGTGTACTTCATTTTCATAGTGTTATTGAACTGGGTGCCAGCAATCAGTGCATTTGGCAAGGAGGTTGCGATGCTGCCCGTGTTGTTTGTGCTTGGGGTGACTGCCATTAAGGATTTGTTTGAAGACCGCCGCAGACATCTATCTGATAAAAGGATCAACAACTCATTCTGTAGAGTTTATAAAAAGTAAGTACATCATTACATTTTATATTGTTAAAATATTAAAATCAGTATTCTCAGTACAGGATAGGAGTCTCCCTATCCACTTCCATTTATTTTAACTAAAAACTAAAATTGTCTAAACAAAAATAGCCCTACTCAACAGCCGGAACCATATATCTTTAAACATTATATGCTATGTCAGTTCGCCTAATCAGTTTTTCTGAATGAAAATGAAATTTTAATATTCTTATTTTAATTCATTACTCATTTTTAGATTTAACTTAAATTTAATTATAATATTTTTTTGTCTATCATATTAGTAGATAATGTTATATATATACATTGAATATACAGGAATTTTAATATATTAAATGAAATAATCTTTAAATGTTTATATAAATATTGTTTTAAGTGCGTGTTTAAAAAAGATAATTAAGAGCAATGTTTTTTATACAATTTTGTATATATACAATTTGAATTAAATCAAGTTTTAAGAATGTGTATTTGCTTATCAAGAAATTTTGAGTACAGAATCATGTACCCATAGTTTGCTCACCAAATTATTATATGTGACATAGTCTAGACAACAATAACTTAATTTGAAAAATATATTATTGTATAAATACCTAAATAAAAAGAGTTTAAGAGAACCAACCAACACAAAACAAATATTGTTTAAAAAATTATTTAAATGTATGATAAGAACATTTTTTTTTATCAGATAAGCATTTTAGGACAAATTACACTGTCAATATATCTAGGTAGACTAAAATGTTGAATAGATTAGAACAAAATAATCTAAGATTTTATTTTACATTATTTTTAATTTATCTATTTTACAACTAATTAGTATTTTTTTCAATATTATTTTTGGCTAATCCATATTTATACATACATAATAATGTATTAATATTCATAAAATTATATATATAACAGAGAATTATATATAGAAGAGGGAGAGAGAGAGAGAAAGAGAGAGAAACAACTGATGTTCCTCGCAGCTGAACCTATCCATGTGAACTCTTATATCTCATTTCTGTAAAAAATTAAATATCCTTTCCTAATCTCATTAATTCCGGCTGTGTGTTTACCTGTCAGTCAGTTTGTTTTTTAATATTAGAACATGTTTAATTACTCTTTAGAGATTGCTGTCTAGTGATTACACCAACCATTATTGTTTCTTGTAATATTCATTTTTTATATACATAATTTGTGTAGGTAACTATATTTTCAGTCCAGAATAATTATAAAGAGTTTTTATTTTTTTATTCACATTTCTATTGACTAAGTACACTTACCAATCCAAATAGGTATCACAATGAAATCATAATTTCTTTTGGGAGCATTTTTATAACCCTAAATGGGTACAACTCTTAAAAGATACATCAACAACGTACACCTTATAAGATATTCAGGCTATCTCTATTTAACGTCTCATTTAACTAACGACACACTTTCCCCGCAGATTACTTAATAGTTACGCCGTAAATTTTATTTAAGGATGTCGATTTCTAAAATTTTTACTTGTTTGTACAATTAATGTCTCTGAACATTTATTCTATTTAACCACAGTTATCCTATGGTAGATAGCTAACATTTCGTGTTCGGATTAATAAAGCTCGTATTCTAGTTTACATTAGAAGTTTCGGTCCTAATTCGAACAGTCATTACATTTGATGGTAAACCTCAAATCTACCGAAATCGAATGCTTGTGATATTTGAGTAACAGCTGGCATCCTATAACAAATCTCTAACAACGTTAAAAATAATTATGTTAAATATTTCAAAACTCATGCTGTTGAAAAGTTGTTAACATCTCCATTTATAATGACACTGGTATATTTTCCTCTACAAAATACCGCCAAGATCAATCATATTAAAACACCAGTAAATGCTCTATAAATATAAATTCAAAATAATTTAAAACACGCAATCGTGTCTACAAATAATATAGTGAAAAAGCAGTTTGTACACCACAAAATAATGGCGGCTTTATTCGTCTCAAAATTATGGTACCAACGACGGAGTAAGTCCTATCGATTGCAAAAAGAATTGACAATAAATGGATTCAGAATTAGCGATGTAACTGCGTAGTTTAAAAAAAAAACAGACCTTAAAAATGCTACTTAAATACTAATTCATCATATCAGCTGTTAACTGCTGAACATAGGATCTCCATAAGGAGGATTTTGCCAGTGTTGTCACGCTTCGGGTTTTTTAATGGGTGACAATGGAATGGTAACTCCGCCTGCTCTATCGGTATACGCTGGCGGGGCAACAGTGAGGGATGATAGGTAACGATGAAAGCGGATCAGTTAGCTCATTGTGACGAATTCCACTACGATTAATCACGATGGTTTCCAGGGGAAACCACGTGAAGGTCGACCTGACAGGGTATTGCTAGCAATGGGTCAATTAGACCCCATTACTAACAATCCCTTTCCCTTCGCGCTTCGGGTTTGTAAACTTAAATACTACGTATTATTATAAATGTTAAAGTGAGTTTGTTTATTATCTTATAGCACCTTAAGGGCTTAATCAATTACTATAATTTGCTATACGTATACTATATAATATTGAGAAGGATAGACTACTTTTTATTCCGGTGACGCAGATGAAGTCGCAAGTAAAAGCTAGTATATAATGAAATGTCTGAAACTAGGCGGACGTCAACACCTATTAACCGACATTTAAATTATTTTGACAATAGTGATAATTGTGAATGTAATTCCCAAATGCCATAACGCATTAACATAATCAACAAAGCACACGTCCCACTTTACAAATATCATAATACTGTTATTTAGGTAATAATGATTGCTAATAAAACACACTATCAACTATACTGTCAAATGTTATTTAGAAAATTACTTTCTTTATTTTGTAACTTTATAGATGCATATATGTATGAGTCATAATATGTAGTTTTTTGTTTGTTTTAAATTGAACCTTATAACCAACAAATAGAAGGAGAACATTATTTATTCGTTTTGTGGTAACAACCTACATATCTACTAAAAATTATACGAAATATCCTCATTTCATTATCATTTTCTGTAATACTATTTAAAACGGCTGGGGTAATACATCATCGCATGACATGCGGAAGTTTTAAATAACTAATAAAAATGTTAATATTAATCCATATTTATATAAACACAAGTTGCATACTGTTGCGTAGAAATAAAATATAATTTTTATACGCGACTTCGTTCGCATACCCGAGATATGCTTTACTTTGATAAAAAATAACCAATATCATTCTCCATCACATATAGAACAAATAGAATAAACTAGCCACGACTAGTTCAGTGTGATTTAATATATAAATATATATATATATATATATATATTAATTAAGATATAAGCAGCACAAATCTTCGCGTTTATAACAGTAGTAGAATTAGTCACATAATGGCTAGTAAAGATATATCTCAAAGGCAGGGCTGACATAATTTAATTGCTAACGCGATCAAAGTTTATAGATACAATTTTATAACTTATTTTAAACAAAACAGAAAAACCAGTGTCGTCTAATTTTTTTTTTTTTATTATTGTTTAAAACAATTTGTAATTAATTGCTAATCCAGTTTTCTAATATAATCCATTATGAAGTCACGTCAAAGTTGGTTGTTTTTTTTTTTTTGTTGAACAAAATCTGTTATTTTGTAACACTGTCACTTTCTCTATAACTGAATGACGACATTCCAATTATTACTACGGAGTACCTTTTTAACCAACATCTAAAAAAAGGAGCTTCTCAAGTCATCTAATCTTTTTTCCATCACTTTCTTTTATACAACTTGTAGCGGCAACGAGGGTTCACCTGAAGGAAAGTTGTACGCAATTACATCACTAATTCTAAATAAAATTTTATAATTCTTTTTGCAAACGATTCGTTTTACTCCAGTAATTGAAACTGCTGTTTTTTTTTTTTTGTGGAGCAAAAAACTTCCTGTTGCAAAACGAAATGTAAAATGCAAACACGTTATTTTCAATCTAATAAGACATTCTGGACGTTCATTGACTGTGTGGGTTCACGATTGAAATCGCTTCTTTGGAGAAAATTTGTTTGTTTTACTTAATTTACTGTTTTTTTTTGGTCTTACAGACCATGCATTGACACTAACCATGCATTTGGTTTTGGAAGACCCATGCTTATACGATATTGATGGTAAAGAAAAAGATCATCATCTATTTGGATATCGTCTATATCGATCATATATCTATACTCATTTCGATCGAGTGCTTCATTTTGATATTATATTAGAGAACCTATATTTAATATAACTGGTACTGGGCCTATATACATATACTATAAGTACAATATATAGATATTACCATATATTGCCCACCCATACATGCTTGTTTATTTTTTTCTAATTAACATTCCCTTTTTTTTTCATTCTAATTAAGACCCCTTGCATGTCATAGTTGACCGCAATAAATTGATATTGTCTATATTGTATAATATTAGTCTAATTATATGCTCATAATATATGAATATATCAAGTATTGCTTTATTTTTCCTCTAGTCAATAATGCACCGCCTACTTATTTCTCGGTTTGTCCAATGGTTGACTGACAGAGAACATTGTCCGGTGTTAAGTCCGCTAAATATACATAGAATTTTACTGTGCATTAAAGTTTAAATAAATAAATAAAAAAATATTGACCACTTTGTTATAGAAAAATCTATTTATTCTAATTTTCATTCTTACTAATATAAATATGAAGTTAGCTTGTTTGTTTGTTATTTCCCGATGCCTATTAGCTTAAGTGATCGTCATTAAATTTGGTGCATAAATAATAGTCGTATTTAAGATGGAGTAGGGCATAGGTTATTTTAATTCAAATTTTTAACCCAGTCACAGAATATACTTTTTGCAATATCCAATTCATTGAGTTTGCAACATTCATGTCTCTGTTATATAGAGCAGACATAGATTACGTAACTTCACGTCAGCAACTTGGTGTACAAAAAAGTCCTTTGTCTGTGAGAATCTACTATGTATTGAGTTACT